TTTAATTTATCAGCAGACCATACTTACTTGAATTTCAAGGCTGTTATACTTGCTGTTCCCTTTGCCTGGCATTTAGCATGGCTCACTTCTCATTTTTCAGGTGCTAGCTGAAATGTCGCTTTCCTAACCGACCTACGGCCTGTTCAGATCTGGCTGAAGGAGTTCCGTTCTTAGTCCGCCCCTGTGACATTGCTCATCTTAGTTCTTTCGTGGCATTCGTGTGGTCTAAATTGATGTACATTTGAAACTTGATAACCATTTGCATTTTTGTGACCTGACTTCTTTAGAATGTCAACTTTGTAAGCTGAGCTTGTGATGTTTCAAATCATTGCATCTTTACTTAGAACAGCTCCTGAACTACAACAGGTGCTAAAAAAATCATTTGTCAAATGAGTAAATAAGTGTATAAGATTTGGAACAATACAGAAGGAGCTTCTCCTTTCGCTGTGGCCAGACCGTGTGATAGATGTAATTCTAAAAGCAGCAGTGGAGGTGGAATACAGCAGAGCATGTGCCTTTGTGTCCTGAGCCCCAATATCTTCATCTGTTAAATAAGCGTAACAGAGCTTACCTCCTTGGGGTACAGGAAGACTTCAGTGGAGTACAACATACCAACAAGTCCTAGCAGAGCGATATGAAATGCTCTCCTAGCATCTCATACTGTAAAGATACCATGTGTGTTGCTGTGCCTTTCGGCTTCCATCCCTCTTCTGGCAGTTCAGGACATGGGCAGGCAGGTGTGGGGGCAGTGGGAGCAGGGGTGAAGCGGGGATGAGTGCGGAGACTGAGTGGGGGTGATGGGGGTGCAGTCATATGTTCTATGAGCTCTCTTTCTTTTCCTTCCTTTTTATTTTTAAACTTTACTCATTTTATACATTCCTACTGGGAAAACTTTGACAAGTTTAAACTTTAGTGTATGAAATGACAGTTATACACATGACTCTCGTATTTTTGAGAAAAGGATTTATTTATTTGTGAGTCAGAGTTACAAAAAGTGAGAGAAAGAGAGAGCAAGCAAGCTTCCATCTGCTGGTTCACTCTCCAAACGGTCACAATGGCTAGAGCAGGGCTGGTTCGAAGCCGGGAACCAGGAACTTCTTCTAGGTCTCCCATGTGGATGCAGGGTCCTAAGCATTTGAGCAACCAATCCTTTGATGTTTTCTCAGGCTATAAGCAGACCGCTGGATTGGCAGTAGAGCAGCCAGGACTCGAATTGGCACCTATATGCGATACTGGTGTCACAGATGCGGCTCTACTTGATAAGTCACAGCACTGGCCCTAGATATTCTTGTATTTCTAGAAAGTATGTATTTTAGGGGATATATAATGGAAGTGTAGCGGGGACTGATATGTTCAGATATGAAGACAAAGTGCTGTATGTCTCTATGCATACAGACCAAGGATGGACTCCCCGTGAAAGAGTTGAATACATCCTAACAGTAAGATGATGGACTCTCTGACAATGTCCATGCCTACATTGTCAGAAAACACTTCCATAATAGCATGAGGGACTTGTGACAGTTCATGAAGGACATCCATTGTAAAACTGGAGGAGAATTCAATGGTGTGGGGGAGGGAAGGGCTTATGGAACTAGATCATAAAACAAAGTAAAATTTTTTTTATTGAAGAATGTTTTTTATTATAGTTTTGACAATCTTTACGTAGTTAATTGGGGTAAAAAGGTTCAAGGGCTATAGGAAAGTGGGTAAGACTATTATTTCCTTCAAGTTTAAAGGGGAGTATTAAGGGAGAAGGGCCACCCAATTTCCCACCCTCCCCAGGTCCCAGTTGTAGGGTATGCTCCGAGGTTCTTACTCAAGTGGTTTTGATAGTTCACCAGTTAGTAATTGCTGCCAATCTTGCCACTCCAAGCACGATGAGGTCTTTGAAAAATCCACTGATTGACATAGTCCATCATAGAGTCTCTGTTTGCCCCATATTTTGCTGCCAACATATAGCTGAGATGGTTGATTGACCTGTTCTGTCCTCTGACTTTTCATGGTTAGGGTTCTGAGTCTAGCATTTTGATTGGGGAGAACCCCAAACAAACTTTGTCCGAGGTGTTCTCAGACCAGATTCTTGTATGTACTAGCAAGTACAGGGCCTGGCATAGTCCATCGCCCTGATCAGCTGGTGGTTGCAATCGCTGGGTTGATTCTGTTTTCGGCCCTGGCTTCCACTGGAACCAATGGGTGTTGCAGTCCAGCCTGCTGCCCAGCACATACTCGGCCCTCACATAAACCAGTGGGAGCTGCAGCCTAGTTGGAGCGACCCACAATGTGAATGTAAATGTAAAAAAACAAAATAAAAAATAGAAAATAATAATCTTTAGCATTTTAGAAAAAGCGCTAGCCTGGGAGGCAGAGGTACACTGAGTGTGCCTCGTATAAACATCCAGACAGGGATCCTGTGGTCATTGCTGCCGCCCACCCTCAGGATGCTTGGCACATGATGTCTGTACTTGCAGGGGGACTTCTGGTGTCCACACTAGGCCAATACAATGGGGCTTCAAAAAGCTTGTGGAAAACTGAAATGGAATTTAAAAGACAATGCATGATGAGATCATTGAAAATATTAAAATATAAATGAAAATAGTTTAATCAGAAGTCAGAGAACATAATAGAGAAAAACCTTCTAGGGACGAAAGAAAGCAAGAAAATGCAGTGGGAAGGTTTGATATGATGTGGGCAGCCACCCTGAAGGGGGTCATCATCTTAGCTGACATGCAAGGACAATCGTCTCTTCACTGTGGGAGCGGAGTAAGGAGTCCTTACTGAATTGGGATGATTCCCTACTAGAAATTTCACTTGATTCATCTGCTTACACACAACTTGAACAAACCTAGAAAGCCTTGTAAAGTTATTGGAGGGATTCTGTGAAGTAATTCCCGTGAGGTCTTGTTCCCGTATCGGGCTCTGAGTGTGTGGCTGTGTCGCCAGGACAGCCAGGCCCTCCAGCTGGCCAGCTGGGGCGCTGTTCCTCCATGGTGTCTTGGCCAATGATTTTGGAAGCTGGAAGCGCCAAGAACCTCAACTCTGCCACTCTTCTGACAGGAATCATGTGTCTGCTTTCTTTCTAGAGGTAGGGGATCAGGGGTGCATATGGGAGAGACTGTTCATGGTCACGGAGGTCCTTTTAGGGGTGGCAAAAACGTTCTAGAAGCAGAAGTTGGCTATTTGCATACCTTCTCCAAATATCTGTGAGCATGATCTTTTGTTCATAAGATTTTAATTATTTTACATGAAAGTTAGAGAGAGGAGTCTCATATGCTCTGGTTCACTCCCCAAATGGTTACTATGGCTAGAGCTGGACCAGTCAGAAGCTGGGAGTCAGTAGCTTTTTCCTGATATCTCACCTGGGTGCAGGGTCCCAAGGCTTTGGGCCATCCTCTACTGCTTTTCCAGGCCAAAAGAAGGGAGCTGGATTGAAAGCAGAGCAGCCGGAACTTGAACTGATGCCAGCACAACAGAGGATTAGCATGCAATGCCCGAGTTGGGCCTTAATCTCTCTCTTAAAAAAAACTTATGTATTTATATTTTTGATGTGTCTATCACTTCATTAGGTAATGATGTCAACAAATGGCAAGCAGAATATAATAATACTAATGAAAAAAAAAACCAGAAAAAAAGGCAAATAAAATTCAAAGAACCTGCTATGCCTTAGGGTAATAAACAAAGGCTGTACAATATGGCCAAATGCAGAGTGTGTCATCTTACTATTGTTGTTCTAGAGGCTGGAAGAAGGCCCAATGCAGCTTAGGGTCAGTTCACAAACCCACATCCTCTCCTTCAAGGTTCACAGAATGCATTAGTATAATGAAGACTCGGAGAAACTGTAAGAAAGGAACTAGTCTACGGGTTGATGCAGTGGCTCAACTGGCTGATCCTCCATCTACGGGCATGCATCCCATATGGTGCCGGCTCATTTCCCAGCTGCTCCACTTCCCTTCCAGCTCCCTGCCTGTTGCTTGGGAAAGCAGTGGAGAATGGCCTGAGACCTTGGAACCCTGTGCCCGCTTGGGAGACTCAGAAGAAGCTCCTGACTCCTGGCTTTGGATAGGCTTAGCTCTGGTCATTGTGGCCATTAGGAAAATGAATCAGTGGATGCAAGGTCTTCCTGTATCTTCTCTCTGTAAATCTGCCTTCCCAATAAAAAGAAATCTTTTTTTTCCCCTGAAAAAATATAGGAACTAGTCTAACTTTGCGCCACCAAGAAGAGTTCCAGACACTTTCTTTACTATGAAATTAGCTTTTTGCTACTGTTGTGCAGTGGTAGCATTCTTTGTGAGATTGGGACGGGCTGGGGTGTGACATGTGTTGCCAGGTAGAAAGTTTTGACAAAAGGCCACTATGAGAGCATCTTGGCTAAGGCTCCTCCGGCATCAGTGGTTTTTAGATGTACAGCATTCCAGGTCAAATCCCTGCAGCAAGCGCCCTGATGAAAAGAGGCTCTGGAAGTGAAATGGAGGCTGCTGGCTTGGCCCTGTGTTCTCAGGCCTCCCCTCCCAGGGTCTTCCCTGGAAGGTCTTAGAGAGGACAGACAACTGGACAAGAAGAAGCAGTCTGCTAGTATCCCTCCTGCCACTCCATGGATTGGTCAGCATTTTGCAGCACGTGGTGGAGCACCTGAGATAGTTAACTAACCAAGAGAAAAGATGTATTTGGCTCATGGCATGGGAGGTTAAAATCCAAGATCAGGTGGTCTCCACTGATTTGGCATCTGACCCAAGTGATGGCAGGAAGTGGCAGAGCTCGACACTTGGTGGATCTCAAGAGGAGCGAGGGAGGGCAGTACAGCCCAAACTTCGGTGTTTGTAACAGTCCCCTGATGGGGCACATCATCTGAGCCTTGGTCCAGTGATCCAATGACCTCCCTGCAGGCCCTACCCTGTCCTGCATGGTGCCCTCCTGGGGACCCAGACTAACTCTTTGCAGGGTCATGGCAGGGATACCCAAACTGTATTGAAACCAGAGCCTTAATTTTCTGCCTTTTCTTTTAGACGGATGTTCCCTGTCCTAAAGATCAGCGTCACGGGGTTGGACCCCAATGCCATGTACTCCCTCCTGTTGGATTTTGTGCCCACGGACAGTCACCGTTGGAAGTACGTCAATGGCGAGTGGGTGCCTGCGGGTAAACCCGAGGTCTCCAGCCACAGCTGTGTCTACATCCATCCCGACTCCCCCAACTTTGGAGCCCATTGGATGAAAGCTCCCATCTCCTTCAGCAAAGTGAAACTGACCAACAAGCTCAACGGAGGTGGGCAGGTACGGGCAGGTCGCCTGGACATTGGGTTTGGCGTCCCCATCACACCAATCAAGAAATATCAAGGGTGCATTTAGGCAATTAGAGGGGTCCTCACTAGCCTCTTCTTCCACAGAAACCAATTATTCCCTGGAGCCCAAATGTAAACAGGAATAAACAGCTCTTAATTGGTGCTTTCAGTTTTTAATGGACTTCCTGATGTGGAGAGTGCGGGAGTGCAGTAGTTTACTTAATCATCAGGGCTCTTTTCATAGTTTTGTCTTCTGTGCCCTGCTTTTTACCCAGGCCCTGTAGAGAGATGTTTGCAGTACCGGGGTTTTGTCATTCCCTCCCCCTCTTTTTTTTTTTTTTTCTGGTGTAAGTGGCATGTTGGCAAAAGACAAATACCTTAATAAAAAGCTGCTCCTAAATGAAATAATTACTACCTCCACTTCGGCATTATGATAATTATCAATACAATATTCAATCAGCTTTAGTTTGTCAGAAAAAAAAAGAAAATCCAAACAAACCTTAAATAAGGAAGGTTTTATGTAAGGACTCCAATTAGAGTAAACAAGATTTGGGGGGCTTTTTTCCCTCTCATTTTCTGTGGAAAGACCATGAACGTTCATTTACGGGGTAAGGTTGGTTAGATATTCTACACCATGCAGATTGATATAGGGAATTGGAGACACAGCTGGGAACATGTGGCCCAGGTCCTCTGTGCTATCCTCCTTCTTTGCTTGGCCTTGCCCTTGGTTTTGTGCCCTATCCTGACTTCCCTGAGCTCAGCTGGCAAGGAGACGTGGAATTCATGTGTTAGGAGGTGCACGCAGTGCCACCCAAACCTTTGTGAGATTCTGAAAGCTCCAGTTCTTTATCCAAGTAAGAAATAAAATTGTTATTGCCCAACAGACTTCGTGACTGGAGGCTTTGCATAAACCCTTCATATGAATCACTTGTAAAATGCAACCGTTGTGTTTTGAGTTCTTAGGGTTTTTCATTTGAAGGAAAAACCCAGTGTGTTTCAATGAATTGCAATCTATGTTGTTGTCCTAAAAAAATAAGGGAAGGTTTAAAAACGAAGTCAGGCTGTAGGCAGAAAGTGGGACAGGCTGAAGAACGACTGTTAGGCAACCCATCCCATGCACCTGCCCAAGTTTCATTGCAATGCCCCCTCCCTGGGATTTTTGAAAATAGTCTCTCCCCTCATTAATTTCTTAGATGGGGTGCTGGTAGCTCAGGTCATCTAGGATTTGGTTTTGTGTATCCCAGACCAGGATGGGTTTTGACCTTGGGCCTGGTCAAAGGTTTTAATTCATTTATTAACCGTAAGACACAAGCCTTGGCTTGGTTTCTTTCTTTTCTTCTCCTGCCTCAACAGATAATGCTGAATTCTCTGCATAAATATGAGCCACAGGTTCACATAGTGCGCGTTGGAGGCACACACCGCATGGTAATGAACTGCTCCTTCCCCGAAACCCAGTTCATAGCGGTGACTGCCTATCAGAACGAAGAGGTAAGTGTGTGTGGCTGTGGGTGTGATGTCACCCCAGTGAGTGTGGCTGGTAGGGCCAGAGGGGTGCTTGGATTGCCGTGACCATGCCTGGATGCTGATGCTTCCAGGATTCAGATATATTCAGTGGAGAAGTTCAACTCCAGGGTAGCTATTCTCCACTTTCTCTTGCTTATTTGCTCCAGTCCCAGCGTGGGTCCTGTCGTGATGCACAGCCAGGCAGTGTTACACAACTGATTCTGCTGAAACTCAGGAGTCTTCATTCTTAGGTCCTTAGTGCTTTTGGGCCCGCACAAAGCTGGGCAGTCTGGGATGGGTCTCCTTTTCTATGAGCAAATCAATGGGACTGATCCAAGGGACATTGTCCTTGGGGTTTTGTTATGAGATTACCCAATTAGTTTTTAATGTTTGAGCCTGGTCAGGCTCTTGCCTGCACTCCGGCTGAGTGGTAGGAATGTGGAGTCTCTGTGAGCTGTTCTGGGGTCCAGCCCTGTTTCGAAGGACTCTTAGGCCTGATAATCTGGAGAGACTTGGGCTTTTCTGATTTAGGTCTAAAACATTCAAAAGTAATATGTGTTTATTTGAAAATCATATAATAAACCAATAGTACTTTGACATATGCATTATAAGAAAGGATAAAAAGGTTTAAAAAATGCCCTACTTAAAAATGTTTATATAGTTATTTGAAAAGCAGAGTTAGAGAGAGGGAGGGCCTCCATCTTTGGGTTTACTTGTGTTGGGCCATCTGAGACTCCCACGTGGGTAACAGGAGCTCATGTATTCGGGCCATCTGCTGTGGATTATCCAGGCTCATTAGCAAGGAGCTGCACTGGAAGTGGGACTGCCAGGATTCGAACTCATAGGAGATGCCAGGTGTAGGTGGCAGCAAAACTTGCTGTGTCCACAATTCTGGTTCCCAATAGGTACTATTTTTTTCTGCCTTTACAATCCTATTTGCTATGTAGCTAACAGATAAGGGCTCACTATGCTTTTTCCCCTATTCATTTCCCATGTGTATATGAATATATGAGAGATCTTCAAAATGTTTGTGGAAAATTTCATCATTTTTAATGCCACTTTCCACAAACTTTTAAAAGCATCATAATACATACAACTATAGATTTTTTTCCCTATACATGACTCATCTTCTAGATATTAAACTGAAAAATTTTCTCCCAATTTGGCAGTCCATTATGAATATTTTCTTTTTTTCTTTTTTAAAAAAGATTTATTTTATTTTTATTGGAAAGACGGATATACAGAGAGGAGAGACAGAGAGGAAGATCTTCTGTCCAATGATTCACTCCCCACGTGAGCCGATGCTATGCCGATCTGAAGCCAGGAGCCTCTTCCGGGTCTCCCACACGGGTGCAGAGTCCCAAAGCTTTGGGCCGTCCTTGACTGCTTTTCCGGGCCACAGGCAGGGAACTGGAAGGGAAGTGGGGCTGCCGGGATTAGAACCGGCGTCCATATGGGATCCTGGGCGTGCAAGGCGAGGACCTTAACCGCTTGTGCCATCTTGCCGGGCTCATTATGGATATTTTCAATGTGGTCATAGTCAGCTCTTTCTGCAATGCAGGCACAGTATTAAATTACATGGCTAATATGATATTTCATGCAATTACCCCTCCCCCCCACCAGAGTCAGAGATTGAATTGTTTCCAGTTGTTTGTTTTTTATTGTTAAAAATTGTTGCTCTGGATGTCCTGGTGTCTGTACCTGCTTGCTAGCATGAGTGAACACTCGGATAAGCAACTGTCAGAGCAACAGGTGTTAGGGTTTTTGGCAGATGCTGCTGCATTGTCTCCCTCAAAAAATTGTGTCTGTTGAGAGTCTTCACCCCACGATCAACAGTGGCCATTGCCCATCTTTTGCAGCTTGCATACTTTGAGAGGTCAAAACACAGCATCTCACAGCTTGAATCTGCATGTCTTTATTTGGAAGCTTTCAAAGACCCAACCACATGAGGCCGAGCCTCCAAGGATGCTCTCTAGAATCTGTGTTTTTAAGGACTCCGGGGATTATCCAGGTTTGAAAACAACACTCGGAGTACCTCTGGGTGATTAGGTTGCAGAGTTAGCTCTCTGCACCGAGGTCCTCCTTTGAAACACTACTTTGGTCGCCTGGCAGAGCCCCTGCTAGACTTTGTGGGAGCAGAAAGGAACCCACAGTTACTCAACAGGTGCCTGGCAGCCATCCCTACTCTGCTTCTCGTCTCCAGATTCTGGGTGTAGGAGGGGAAGGTGTGGCTGTCGCCTGGCCTCCCCAATCTCCAAGGAAAGCCCTCCTCCCTCTCCTGTGCAGCTTATTCTCGCAGTTGGGAGTTGGCAGCTGGATGGGGGAACATTTTCTTGAAGCGTTTCCTGGCTGCAGGTGCTGGATGGACCTGTGTGATGTACCTACTTGAATCCCGCCACCTGATCAGCAAGCTTCCCCGCCTGGCGTGTCTACTGGGGGTTTTAAGCATGCTCCAGGACAACCAAGCTCTTAGCATCTGCCCCAGAACCCTTCGGCAGTGTTTACTGAGGCTTTGGCAGGGTGGGAACTCGGGGCAAGGCCAACCTTTTCCTTATGCCCGTTGTTACCATCATTTTTCAGCCCTACCTCTTCAAGTTTAGTGAAGAAAATGGCCAGGTCACACCTATCTGACTCTGTAGTTCTTTCCCCAAATTCTCCCGGTTTCTTTCCACAAGTTTTGGGCCAGAGAGGGATATGCTTTCATTTTGCTTGGCCTCCTTCATCAGAGAGCAGCGATTCTCAGGCCGTTGGTGACAGAAATGTCCTACCCAACGTTTATTTAAGTAGCCCATGTTTGTTGGGTATTGTTCTAGATGATGCAAATATTGGAATGCATACATAAATGTGTTCTTACTTCAGGCCATGTATGTGGCAGTAGAGACAGATGACAACTAGGCCAGAGCCAAATGGGAATGTATGATAAAATAATAAAATAAATTAAAATATTTCTTTCATTTTATCTCTGTGTCTCTCTCTCTCAGTATCCGTAGCCTCACCTCCATCCAATGTCTCCCTCTATCTCTCTCTCCATCTCTATTCACCCTTTATCTCTGCTTCTGTCTGCGCCTCTGCCTCCCTCTCTATCAAAATCTTCATCTTTCCCTCAGTTTCTAACTCTGGCTCTCTCTCCATCTTTGTCTCCATTTCCTCCGTTTTCCCTCTCTGCCTGAGTCTCTTCCATCTCCATCTTTCTCTGTCACCCTCTGTTATCTCCTTTTTTCAAAAAAATCTGTCTCAGTGTCTAGCTGGGTCTTTATTTTCATGTCTATCATCTGTATAAGCATCTTCTTCTGCATCTCTTTCGTAGGATACATCTGCTTCTCTTTCTTCATCTTCACCCGCCTCTCCATCTCTGTACAAATCTCCATCCTTGTCTCTAGCTTGGTGTCTCTGTTCCCATCTCTGCCTCGTTCTCCATCTCCTCTATGTCATACAGCTCTGAGGAGGAATGAAGCAGACAAACCGAAGTGCAATAAATCTAGTTACAGTGGATGGGAGCAATGGTTTATTTTTTCCATTGACCTGGCCCAGGGCATTAGTGGTTGTTTAAGCACAAGGACATTGATGCTAAGCTCTACTCTCCAAGGTGAGGTCACACCTGTGCTGCTCCCCCCTGACCTGGGTTGGTTGCTCAGTGATTGCTGAAAATGAATGATAATTTTTTAGTGCAGTAGAGATTTGTTCCTTTCTAATGCTCTCTCTGTTCTTTGGTTACTTTAAATGCATTTACCATTTTCACCATGTGTCAGGACAAAATGTCCTTTGTCAGAGATGGTGCATCAGTGACTTAGTGCAGGAATCAAAACAAAGCAAAGCATGAAGAGGTAGAGCATCCAGTCTGATCAAAATTCACAAGTGAAGACAAAGGGTTCTGTTATTCCTATTTCACTAACACTTCTTATCTTTGCAAATTCAAGATAACAGCTCTCAAAATCAAGTACAACCCATTTGCCAAAGCCTTCTTGGATGCCAAGGAAAGGTAAGTAGAGAAATTTTGGTAAAATCATATTAAGTTGACTACCAAAAATATCAAATGAATTAGACTATTAGTACTTACATTATCTTGACATAAATGTGTTTTTCAATACTTCATTAAGTAGTCCATAAAACAAACAAAATTAAACTAAATTATAATGACCTGTTCCTTATAATAGATCTCAGAAGAACCCTTAGCTGGAAATAGTTTTTCAGCCTGCCTTACTGTAGCTTCTTGAAAGTAGTGCAATCATATTTTTAAAAAATGATTTCCATTAAAATATTTATTTAGCGGTTTGAAAGGCAGAGTAACGGGGGCAGTCATGGTAGTGGTGGGAATAAAAAGATCATCTTCCATCCACTGGTTCTCTTCCCAAATGGTTCACCGTGGTCGGAGCTGGACCAAAACAAGGCCAGGAAACTGGAACTTCTTCCGGTTTCTTCCATGTGGATGGCAGGGGCAGGAGCTCTTGCATCTTCTTCTGCTGCTTTCCCAGGGAGCTGGATTGGAAGTGGAGCTGCTGGTGCTCACATGGAAGCAGGTGTGGTAGGCAGGAACCACTTGCTGTGCTAGGATGTCAACCCTGACTTCGATTTTCAAATAGTATACTCTACCTTTCTCCCAATCACATCTGAATAACATGGTTTTAATCAATTGTTCTTTTTAAGGCCACATTTAGCATAGGCAACTATGAGGTGTGGCAGGAGGTTCATCTTGGGCAGGTGAGAGATGTCTGAGACTTCTGGACATGTGAGAGATGGTTCTAGCACTTTGGACCAATGACTTGACATCTCTGTATCTTTCCTTTTCATTCAAGGAAAGAGGGAAAAAGAATGGGGCTTATCTGTGATTTTGTTCTGTTGACAGGATCTAACACACAAATATAAATGCCTTTGATGTGTACAGATTTCACTGAGTGTTGAATCCAATCATGCTTATAGCTGTCTAACCTTTCCTTTTACCTTAAAGGATCTAGGTTGATGGAGAGAGGTTTAAAATGATGTGTCACAGCAATTTGTCATTCAATATTTGAGGAAATTTTGATGATGCACCTATGCCTTTTCCAGATTAAAAAAACTCTAGTGTGTGAGATGACAGAATTTATATTCAAAATGATAGCAGTGTAGGCTCGTGAAAATAATTTAGGACTTTGAGGGAGAGATTCTGAGTCTTAGCTTTGTCATTTCCTGGCTGCTTGATCTTACAACTTGCCTGCCTTTCTGTTTTTCTTTATTCCCTTTTCTAATTTGTTATGCATTGCATTCCTAGGAAAAGAATCCTGGATTTTTCTTCCTCTGTGGTTTGCTCTTTTTTTCTTTGTGGCTATTGATGCCAGGTGAGGTGTCAGAACAATAAAACTCAGCTGGAAGGATGAGAGATTATTCTGCCATGTTTTCCTTTAGATATTTGGGTTACGTGTCAGATCTGAGGATGATCACTGCATGCTTGTTTAACCTGTCTGTGAGGTTCACAACAGATTCTCCAGCTCAATGATTTAAATTTCACCCACTGAGCCCTGCTTCACCACCACAGTTAGCAACTGGATATAGTAAAAAGAGTAACAGTAAAAGTGCAACCTGTAGAGCAAGTGTGCTTCTTAGAAATAGTGACTTGGAGGAAGGATGAGGGAAGGACAATAGCTTCAAGTAAAAAAGGTACTTGGATTTCTTATCTCAAGAAACATTGCTTGGGCCTGCACTGTGGGGTAACAGGCTAAGCCACTGTCTGCTGTGCTTGCATTTCACATGGGTGCCTGTTTGAGCCCTGGCTGCCATACTCCTCCCTCCCTCCCTCCCTTTCTTCCTTCCTTCCTTCCTCCCTCCCTTTCCTCCTTCCTTCCTTCCTTCCTTCCTTCCTTCCTTCCTTCCTTCCTTCCAATTTTATTTTATTTTTATTGTAAAGTCAGATATAGAGAGAGGAGAGACAGAGAGGAAGAGCTTCCATCCGATGATTCATTCCCCAAGTGACCACTACGGCCGGTTCTGCACCAATCCGAAGCCAGGAGCCTGGAACTTCCTCCGGGTCTCCCGTGTGGATGCAGGATCCCAAGGCTTTGGGCCATCCTTGACTGCTTTCCCAGGCCACAAGCAGGGAGCTGGATGGGAAGTGGGGCTGCCGGGATTAGAACCGGCACCCATATGGGATCCTGGCGCATTCAAGGCGAGGACTTTAGATGCTAGGCTACTGTGCCAGGCTCCAAACTCTTTTCCTACACTGTGAAATTCCTTGCCTCTCTCTCGCTCTCAGTCACCCCTAACAGATGGAAGACCTTGTTCACTTTGTTTCCTTTAAAATAAGTAAAAGCAAATCTTTTAAAAAAAACAACTTATTTCTCTCCATAGACAATCTACTTATGCTGGACTTACAGAAAAGCTGGACACCCACAATGCCCTTTTATTGCTTTTTCAGAAATCACCTGAAAGACGTCCCGGAAGCAGTCTCTGAGAGCCAGCACGTGACGTATTCTCACTGTGAGTTGGGTGAACACTGGCTGGGAAGTGAGTGGAGATGTTCTTGGATTCACTCCCCTGCACACCCACAGCACCTGGCATGGCTGTGTAAGGTCTGATCCCAATCTAGACTGGACGTGGTATTCTGCTGTAGACAAGTTCATGCCCATTACAGAATGCTCAGGACTCCGTGCTCATCAGCTTATGGGGCTTCCATAAGTCTAGATAGGGTATAAGAATGGAAATGATGAACCACTTAGGCTCTGCTTTCTTTTTTTTTTTAAGGTTCATCTATTTTTATTGTAAAGTCAGATATAGAGAGAGGAGAGACAGAGAGGAAGAGCTTCCATCCGATGATTCACTCCCCAAGTGACCGCTGCGGCCGGTTCTGCACCAATCCGAAGCCAGGAGCCTGGAACTTCCTCCGGGTCTCCCACACGGGTGCAGGGTCCCAAGGCTTTGGGCCGTCCTTGACTGCTTTCCCAGGCCACAAGCAGGGAGCTGGATGGGAAGTGGGGCTGCTGGGATATGAACCATTACCCATATGGTATACCAGTGCATGCAAACAGCCATATATAGGCCAGACTAAAGCCAGGAGTCAGGAACCAGATCTGTGTTCCCCCCGTGGTGCCAAGAACCACACGCCTGGCACCTCTTCTGCAGCTTTCTGAGGTGTATTATTAGGGAGCAGGATGAGAAGTGGAGCAGTCAGAACTTACACTGGCACTCTCAGCTGGGGTGCTGGCATCACTAGCAGCATTCAGCTTACTGCATCATCACACCAACCTGCACACTTTATTTTGTTGTCAAGAAAGTATTTGAAACCCATGCCTATTGGTTTCATACTATTCATTGTCTGTGAACATTTTTTAGAATAGATAGTCAGAGAAATACAAGGAAAGCTTAGAACCAAACAGGAAATGATCAGCGTGGATCCACTTATACCTTACTAGGTAGGACACAAAGATTAGTTACTCCTCACTAGGGTATTGAAGATTTCTCTGCACACCCCCTCCTAAAACTGCTCTGCACCTCAACTGTTGACATATGCCTTGTTAGATTTATAAGCCAGTTTAGACTCTCCTAAAATCTACCAAGTTCAGCAAAATTATGAGTCAACACAATAAACTGCTAAATACTGAAATGAAAGCAGACACGAGACAGCTGAATAGTACCCAATAGCCACTTTAAGGTGTATAGCAGCAGGTTCTGTCTACAAACAAAAATTGAAGGATCAATGAAGTGGTCCCAGGATGTGGTTAAGAACTTGCACTGTTATAACGTATTGATTACTCAATACCATGTCAATTAATTCCAAAAAAAATGAATTTTATTATTTTTTAAAAAATAGTGATTACATGATTGATCAGGGCAGGAAGGATCGAGGTTCAGGGAAAACTGGGTGAATTCATTGCTTCTAAATTTGTCATTTCTTCTTGTTGTTTCTGGGGGAAGGGGAGAGACAAAGGGGGAAACCACTCACGACTTTGCACACGGCCCAGTACCAGGGATGAGGAACAGCCACCTCATATCAATCCAGAGTCCCAATGTGTACATATTCCGAGGGTTCTGTCCAGGTGGTTTGGGCAGTTCTGAAATGCTGCCGATTTCACCAACCTCAGGGTCTGAACTTTTGAAGATCCTTCATAGGAATGAATTTCAAAAAAATTTTTGCACCAGAATAAGTTTGTCCCCATTCCTATTTCCCCAAACTTTCTGAATTACCCTCATGCATGCTGCCTCCTGGACTTTTATTTTAATGCAAATCGAAAGTAGCCCAAACGTTGGATTTCTCTGAATGATTGCATTCAGAGAATGCTTGGATATGCCCTGTTGTCATCTCCTTAGGGGCAGATTCCCTGGGGAGGGGGCATGGTGCCAGGTGTGGTGGTGTCTCTACAGGGATGAGCTGGTCCCCTGACCCTGAGTGTGGACTCTGTTTCTTTGCTCTAGTGGGAGGCTGGATCTTCTCCAATCCTGAGGGCATGTGCACAACAGGGAACACCAACTATCAGTATGCTGCTCCTTTGCCCCTGCCTGCTCCCCACACCCACCCTGGCTGTGAGCACTTCTCCGGCCTCCGAGGACACCGGCCAGCTCCCTACCCCTCCGCGTACATGCATCGAAACCACTCTCCCTCAGGTATGTGGCTCTGCTAATTAAACCCATGGGATGTGAGCGAGCAGGGAGAAGTGGGCAAACACCCGGGAGGAAGGAGCTGAAGAAGGAGCATCTTTCTTTCAACGTATGTGTTACGGGCGCTGTTATTATGTATTGCCATTGTGTGTTTCCTTTTATTGTTCATATGCTAATCATAGATGACCTAGTTATATTGTGTGAGTGTCTTGCAATTATTTTGTAAGAATGAGCATGAAAGTCTCCTTCTCAGCATCAAACTCCCAGCAGCCTGGCAGTTTGGTGCTGATCTCTAAGAGCAGAGTTAGGTTGCGTGGGCCAGGGAGCTTGGCTTGTTGCTGCCACTTGGCTCGTCTCTACAGGTGTAATTGTGGCTCAGTCCAGAGATTGCTGGGTTCAGTGTCAGACATCTATTACGGAGGCCTTGGGGAAGCTGCAGCACTGTACGTGCAGGCCTTAGATTAGCTGACGTGAAGGTTGCAAGCTCAACCACAAGTACTGCTTGCAGTCATTATTTTTGTGGGTTGGGGTTACTGCTTGCATACCTTATTTGTTTATTTAATTTAAAGCGGGAGAAAGGGAGGGAGAAAGAGAGAGAGAGAGAGAGAGAGAGAGAGAGAAAGATGCTTCCATTACTGGTTCACTCTCTAGATGCCTGGAATGGCCAGCGGTGGGTCAAAGCTGGAAGCCAGAAGCTGCACCAGGTCTGCCATATGCCTGGCAGAAACCTAACTTGAAGTATCACACTGCCTATCAGATTGTCTTAGAAGAAGCTGATCTGGGAGCAGAATCCAGGCACTTGTCCTAATTGTTGCCTTATGATTTTCTTTTCTAAAGTTTAAATAGCTTCCTTTATTTATTTATTTGAATGGCAGAACTAGGGAGAGAGATCTGTCATTCCCCAAATGGCTACAATAGTCAGTGTTGGGCCAAATGGGAGCCAGGAACCTGGAATTCCATTTGGGTCTGCAGCATGACTGGCAGGGGACAAAGCACTTGAATCATCACTACTGCTGTCTCCCAGGATGGCCATAGCAAGATGCTGGACTGTAAGCAGATGGGCCAGGATCTGGACCAGGCACTCCTATGAGGTCTATGATCCTCTAACCACCGTCTTAACCACTAGCCAGCTCTCTAACCCTGAGTGTGTTTTCTTTTCATTGAAGCTGTGTCTTGTGTACCTTGGCCTAGTGTGTGCCCAGATCTTGCCTGATCTGTAGATTTGCAGAAAGAAGGAAAAAATCAAAACAGCGTTTAGTTTTTGATTCAGTTATTCAGGCAACAAATATGTGTTGAGGATTGACTGTGTGCCAGGCTTTGCTTTAGGCACATGGACAAGGTGGATGAAGACCCTGCCCTTACGGAGATTCCTTTATAATGTGGAAAGGTGAATACCAAAAGAGACAAATAACTACAGACCATGGCTAGGACATGGAAGAGCATGTGTAGATTCCAACTTCTCTCCTTTGTTAGCGATGCTCTGAACTCTGCATCTGCAGGTGGCTTTCCTGGTCACCAGCCACCTGTCCTTGTGTCCCTTAGTGCACTCCTCCCAGCAACCTCAATAGCTGCTACCAATAGGGAAAGAATGCGGGGCTTAATGATATCCGAAGCTGAGTGATGCCTCATCTCCTTCCTTGTTTCCTGTGGTCCTACAGAAAACATGTCTTCTGATCATCTGCCTTACACAGGGTTTTCTAGGCGGTGGGCACAGGAGGGTGATTTGGATGCAGGGAGGCCATGGGAGGAGCACAGGGCTACAAAAATACTTGCACATAAATAAATCAGAATAAATACCACACAGTGAGGGCTCTGGTGTGGTACTTGGACTGGCAGCATCGCCTGGGAACTTGTTAGAAACAGAGTCTCAGGTTCTACTCCTGGAGTTCAGCCTCCATTTTAACAAGATCCCCTGGTGATTCATTGGCATATTATTTGAGAGGCATCCTATAAAACATGCAAGCCAGAGTGCCATGGGTATTCAGGAAAAAAAAAGAACAGCTAGATTTATCTGGTAGGTAGCAGAGGCTGTCCAGAGAAGTTAAAATTTAAATTGGGGAGCAAAGGTTGTGGTATACCACTTGCAACATCGGAATCCCATATCAGAGTTCCAGAAGTTTCCCTTCTGATCCAGCTTTCTGCTAACTTCCCTGAGAAAGTGGCAAAGGATGGCCTTAGAGCTTGGAGCCTCCACCGTCCATGGGGAGACCAGAATGGAATTCCTAGCTCCCGATTTCAGTCAGGCCCAGACCTGGCTGTTGTGGGCATTTGAGGAGTGAGCCAGTGGATAGAAAAAATCTCTGTCTGTCTAACCTTTTGTCTTTCTCTGCAATTTTGCTTTTCAAATTCATGCGTATATAAATATGTCTTCTAAACAATTTAAATTGAACCTTGACTAGAAGAGGACAGAGGTGTGAGTGGGCAGGCCATTGCAGGTGGAAGCAATGGTGTGAGTTAAGACCCGGTAAGGAAAAGGCATGTGGGCTGGCTGGGGAACATATTTGCAGCAGAGTGTAGAGGGGAATGGGACCTGAGGGAGACACAAGGTCTGATGTTGAAGAGGCTGCACCTGCCAGGTCATGTGCAGCTGCATTTCTCCATTTTGTACCACTGTGACACCCTACCATACGCTGGGTAATGTATAAAGAATGGGAATTTATACCCTCCAAGTTTTGGAAGCTGGGAAATCCACGGTCAAGGTTTTGACCTCTGGCGAGGGCCTTTTTCCAGCACCATAAGTGGTGGGAAGCATCTTGTGGGTGGGAGAGAGGGAAGGGGGCTGAAATCCTCCATTTAGGAAGAATCCAGTTCTGAGAGAGTGAACCCACCCTCGTGATGGTTCCACTCATGAAAGCAGAGTCCCCATGTCCCGGTTACCTCTCATCTCCCCACACTGTTGTACTAGGAATTAATCTCTAACACATGACTCAAATCACAGCATCAGGGATAACTCCCCTTCCTTCCCCCACTTCTTCTTGCTCTCTGTTATATTTACATTGTGTATGCGAGTGGAGAGTCAAGAAATAGAAGGTGCTGTTTCTTGCCCCTTAGTTGCATGTCCTTGAGGTTGCATCACGATGCATGTTCATTGATGACTGTAGTCAAGAAGAGTAATTTGCCCATTTCCTCTTCCTTTTTGACTATAGTGAACACCTCTGAAACCTGTTCTCCCAATGAATTTCCAGAACACGGTAGAAACTAGGAACCATGGCATTCACGCTCTTCATTGGATGTCTAGATTTTTCATCCCATGTAACTGAGGCTCTGTATCCTTTGGCCCACTTCTTATTGCCCCCCAGCTCTGGAGACCACTGTTTTTTTTTCTCTATGCATGTATGAATTCAACTTTTTAAGACTCCCTTTACAGTAAGGGAGACCAGGCAGTTCTGTATTTTATTTTTTTGCGAGAAGACAGTATTCTTCAGATGCTTAAGTCAGCCTGAGATGTTGTCATCTACTTGGGAACTGCTGAGAAGGATAAGGTCTTGCCTCTCAGAAATCTCATCTGGGCTCTGGTGGCCCTTAGCTTGGCTTGAGGGCATGACTCTACAATCCATCCAAATAGGGGAGTAACTAGGATGAAACGAGACACAAAAAGCAAGTTGCACCTCTCTGAGCCTCATCTATAAAATGGAGATGGGAGGCTGTTGCTGTGAAGAATCAGCGATGAGCAGCACCTGACATATGGTTGCCATGTAATAGACATCAGTGCCTTCCGCTGTTTTGCTTTCCTCAGAAAATGCTAACAGATTGTTGGTCCCTATAGCCCAAGCCATGGTTATGATTTTACCCCAGGATGATGTCATTGCCCGTAGGCTTTTGTGTTCCATGTGCTCCATCAATTGAACTATTGTTGTTTTCCCAAAGTGAATTTGATAGAAAGCTCAAGCAATAACCTGCAAGTTTTCTCGGGACCCGACAGCTGGACTTCCTTATCCTCGACACCCCATGGCAGTATCCTCTCTGTACCCCACACCAATGGACCAATCAACGCAGGGCCTAGGTAAGAGCATCATCTTCAACCTGCTTGGTACCAGTTATCAAGGTTCATCCTTTCCTTACTCTTTGGTCTAAACTTTGGGCCCCTTGGAAATGAAGGTGACAATAAGATGGACCTGCTGTCCATTGGTTCACTCCCTATGTGGCAGCAATGGCTGGAGCTGAGCCAATCTGAAGCCAAGGACTAGAAGCCTCCTCTAGGTCTTCCACTTGCGTGCAGGGTCCCAAGGTTTTGAGCCATCTACTATTACTTTCCCAGGCCATAAGCAGAGAACTTGATGGGAAGTGGTGCAGCTGGGACATAAACTGGCACCCATATGGGATCCTGGTACTTGTAAAATGAGGATTTAGCTACTAGACCTCCACACAGGCCAGGCCTGGTAGAAAAGTTCTTGTTGGGGTATACTCTCTTTCATTTTATAGACATATAATTTTATAATGTATATAATCACACACACATATTATATACATATATGTATATATACACTTACACACATAATATATACATATATTATATATTATTATTATATACGGTATATATATAATGTATATTCTCTCTATATATTTTAGCTTCTTTTAAAATTGTTATCATCATTCTATGATACAGTTGCATAGGCCCTGGGATTTCCCCTGCTCCATCCCTGCCCACCAAATTCTCCAATATTATTACTATAGCATAGCTCCTCATAAACAGTCACATGTTTAGCATTGCGGGCATGGACAATATTTTAAAGGAAAGAGACATTATGGGCAGGGTTGTTTTTGTCTGGAACAGAGAGGCATTAGGCTGTGATGATAGCAAATATGTATGCCTGGAGGGGAACAAAAGGGGAACAGAAAGGGAAAAAAGCAAATATACCCCAAGAAAGCAGGAATTCTGTCATTTGCCTATGTTTAAAAGGGTTGTAGGTGCCTGGCTCACAACCCTGGTGACAGGGTTAAGAGGGGCATGTTGGTCTCCTGGTATAATTCTTGTACTGGAGACCGATTGGTCTGACTTCTGGAAATCCATGCAGTGAAAGTAGAGAAGTAAGACACCCTACAATCTGGCAGAGCTGGGTTTGAGTCTCAGTTCTATCTCTCACTGGATTTTTGGCTTGGGGTGATTTTTTTTGACTTTATATAAGCTTTAGCTTTCTTATCTATAATGGGGAAATAATTTGAGCTGCTGCTCTGCAGAATTACAGATGGCCGAGGAGCAAAACGAGAAAATGTGCTCTAATACACATTAGGTAGAACAGCATTATTCTACATAAATGTCAGCTTTTACCTTTCATACAGACATGCAGGACTTTGAGAAGATCCAAAGGGACGCAAAGCTGGAGGATGGGACCTGTGGAGATGTCAGAGGACCCATGTCCCACTTGCATGCGCGTCAGAACCATCTGGGGTTGTGTAAAATGCAGGATCTGATGAGCAGCTTTGGCTGGAGCCTGGGATTCTGCATTCCAAGTATGCGCTTAGCTGTTCTGGCTCACGAAGGAAGTGGAGAGCCATGCTGTCCCGTGCAGCAGCCACCAACTGCTGCATGCGGCAAATTTCCAATATGTGGCACAATGGCTGTGGAGCACTTGAAATGCAGCTGGTGCAGACTGAGCTGTGTTGTCAGTGTCATATATACACAGGGCACTGATGCAAGTAGTATAAAACAAGAGGTATAAAGCAAGAAGTGAAAATCTTGGTACTATTTTTGACATCAAATGCATGTTGAAATGTTATTTGGAATATCTTTACTTACATAAAATATTCACAACCAATTTTTTTTTTCCTAAATGTGGTTACTAGAAAATGGAAACATACATAGGTGGCTGGCATTTGTGGCTTGTTTTTTATTTCTTCAGAGTAATGCTGATCTGGAGGCTCCAAGGGGAAGCATTGATGTGGGCAGTGGTAGGAAGTGAGAAAGAGAATAAAGATGAGTAGAAGATATTAAATCATCATGTATCAAGTTCGGTACTAGCTACCCTACAGAAGTCATCTATAGAACTCAAGAAATCCACCAGGCATGTTTTGCAATTCCTTTCTTCGTTGCTGAAGAAAATAAAGTGCAGGAGCTTCTGGCCACACAGTCAGTTGTGTACCTCGGCTCATGGCTTTTTCACCAGCCCAAAAGGCATCAGACGTGATCCCCAAAGGATGCTGAAGATTCTCTTCTGGAATTCCAGCAAGCTGGGTGGGCTCAGGTAGCTGTGGCCGGACTCCTGCGTTCTGATTTGGCCCAAGCAGGTCTATAGTAACTGAAGGATGGTCCAGAGGAGGGTGGCATCTCTACCTTTGGTTTCTTCTTTAGTGTGTTTGACCCATTCCTTATTCCATGAAGATTTTGCAGAGAAAAAGCAAATGCATGCATCGCGATCACTGGGTAACCAGCCAATTATCAAACCATGCGCTATCAGTCAATGTGGAAAGTCCAAGATGCCAGGATGTATTGATGAATCAAGGCTTAAAAGTTTGGCAGCTATTCTACGTGTCCCAACTGCAGTCGCACACATCTGGGTTCTAGTTTAGCAGGAACATTTTACTGTAACTAGTTGGGAGGTTTTTTTAAAGGTCCCGACAGCCAGGCTGTTGGCTAGCCAAAGTGAAATCAGAATCTCTTAGGGCTGGACCCAGGAATCAGGCTTACTTTTTAAACATTTGTTAAGTGATTCCCGTGTGTAAGCAAGTGTGCTGCAGTGCTATACTCTTAGAAGTAAAGAAGACGAAGGAAGTGGTTCAGTTCCCTAGTCTGCCTGCCAGGGACCAGAGCTGACTGGTGGAGTGCAGGAATGGACGGACGGATCCCAGCGATTTCCTGAGTGCCAAGGGTTAGGCGCATGTACGCCTTCTCATAAGCCTCATAACATCTCTGTGAGTTATGTGAAATCGTTTTAAAGATGAAGATGGTATAGTGGATAAAGGAATGTCAAGATGAAGGTGAGGAGACTGAGGCTCAGAAATATCCAACAGTCTGGCCAACATCACGAAGCTAGTACTGGCAGGGCGCGGATTCTTCCCGGGGTTTTTGGACAGCAGTATGTCCTGGCTGTCGTTGCCATGCCGCCTCTCTAGGTCAGGAAGAGTGCACACTCACAGGTCACACACTTTCTGTACCTTCCTCTCACTACCTACATCACAAGGGCTAAACGGGAGGCCTAGAGAGATGAAATGCCATGTTCAGAATCCAATAACTTGTGAGCCTCAAGGGCAGCATTGGAATGTGGACCTCAGAACAACTCATTTCATCTTTATTTTGCGTATTGCTTCTATGGGCTTCTCTGCAGAAGCAGGGCCAGTTTGTCACAGCTGGAAAGAAAGCCACTGCTAGAAGCCCTCTTCTGATCTGTGTCCCTGGGTACCACTGGGTATCTGCTTGTCCCACATGTTAAAAGAAAAACAAAACAAAACAAAACAAAACAAAACAAAACAAAACAAAACAAACGGAATCCAGTTAAACGGAACAAAGCTTACTTGAGCATGCAAAAGTTTGCAGAGCAGGGCAGCATCCTGGATCAAAGAAACAATACCGCCTTCTCCTTACAACATGGTAATTGTATAATCAGGAAACAATAGTACAGGGAGGACCTGGATATGCAATCCAATCATCTACCCTCTTTGGGCAGAATTTGGTAGTCTTCAGCCTGGGGTTGGCTTGAGGGGTTACCTGCCTTGACTGGTTGAGGCTCAGTTGCTTGGTGACAGGGGTATATTGTTAGGCGAGGGTATAATTGGTTTGCCTGTCAAGTCAGTATGTTCAGAAGCCACTTTGGGCCAAGTTTCATCATCTAGGTAAGAGAACTGACTGACCAGTGGGTCATCCAACATTGCCTCTCTCTGTGTCTCTGCAGTGCCTACCCGTGCCTGTGGACCATCAGCAATGGCGCCGGGGGCCCTGTGGGGTCGGGCCCAGAGGTGCATGCCAGTGCCTCGGGAGCATTTCTTCTCAGTAACACAGCCGTGACGTCACCCCCGTCTGTGCTCCCTGCTCAAGTACCTGCTTCAGCTGGCGTGGAGGTTCTGGCGGAGCCCTCGCTTACCAGCATCGCTGTGTCCACCTGGACAGCAGTGGCCTCGCATCCCTTCCCTGGCTGGGGTGGCCCAGGTGGGGGTGGGGGCCATTCTCCCTCCTCGTTGGACAGTTAGAGAGGATCCCAGGACCCTCCGTCAGCAGAGAGCTTGTAAAGTGCTTAGGAATCCACCTGCTGATCACAGTGCATCAGCCAGGAGCTGGCGGGCAGGGTGGGCTATGACAAAGCCTGCTGGGAGACGCCTTTGCTCGGGTGATGCTGTGATTTAGTGTCTTGCATCTTTACATCTTTCGCATCCTCATTTCCTTTGCAGCTTATCCTTATGCTTAAGTAATTAAACATCACTGAGTACCTTTCTCGTGTTCTAGAAGGCCTAGCTTCCTTCTGTGTGGAGTGGCATGCAAAGCTCACAGTCCACCTCGATAACCCTGTGCAGCCTGGAAAGGAGGTGTGGTCACAGGCCCCGGCTTTGGCTTTGACTTTGACACCACAAGAAGGTATGAGTGCACAAAGTAGAGGAAATCGCGGGGTCTACGGAGCTGCATCATAAAATAAACACATTAAAAAAATCAGACGAAAATCAAGTGAATAAGATAAACCATGTGTTCTTCACAGCCATGGACCTGGTATTGAAATGAGGTCATGTCATTTTCTTAGTCAAGAACAAGTGAAATCCCATCTCCCCTCTAAGGAGAGTCTTCGCTCTCTGGCCCCAGGCTGCTGCCCAGCCCCAGTGCCTGTGTTAGTAAGGCAGACAGCGCTCTGTTCTCAGAACACTCCCTGCTCTTTGCCTCCTCTGTGTGTCTGCCCGTGCCTGAGGCGCCTGTGCGCCACCTGTGCAGGGCCTGCACACCTCCGAGGGAGTGGCTGAGATGCCACGCCGTGCATCCAACACCTGCTTCCTGGCCTCTGTGAAGCAGCCCACCGCATTCTGCTTTGTATTTCTGTTATCTGTGAGCATGTCCTCTCCCTGCTGTAAGCCTCTGGAAGGTGAGGTTTAGCCTTCTTCGCTTGCACCTCACCACCTGCAATACTGTGCCTTGCCTATTGTAACTGCTCAATAAACATTTGCTGGATTGAATTGGTGCGAGGTGCCTGTGTGTTAGCAGGGCAGTGTGGAGCTGGCTGGAAGGCGGGGCTCTGTGGCGCGTGTCCTGTGACAAGGCAGTGTGACCAAGCGCGATCGTTGGGTGCCATTCTGGCTTCTCCGCTGAGCTGCAGCCCATTCTCAGTGGCTGCTGATGACATCAGGCTGTGCCAGGTGCTCATTCCCAAACACCGGTCCTTGGATTCCCTGTGCTGGGACCACCTGGAGTAATGGACGGAAGCACAGATCCCTAAGCATGCTTGGCATTCACTGGGCACCTCACACCCACTGCATCGGAATCTTTGGGGCTCGAGTGTAGAATATCCATTTCAAATTATTCTAGGCAACATTTACAGAGCCAGATTTAGAAACCACTTGTCTAGAGAGGCGAATGAGAACAAGAACTACTGCAGGAGCCTTATTTCACTACCTCTGCTGCAGTCAAGGTCATGTCTATAAGCAATGAGCAAAACCACTCTCTTAGTCTTTCTTTTCCTTTTCTACTCAGACCTGGATGTGCAAAGGAACATGGGGGTGGGGGTTCAGGGTTCAGTGGTGAGCAGATCTTTAAGTGTAGCTATCAGAGTATATTCTTTTTCTTTTGAAGATATATTTTATTTATTTTTATTTGGTATTGGAAAATCAGATATACAAAGAGGAGGAGAGACAAAGAGGAAAATCTTCCATCTACTGATTCACTCCCCAAATAGCCTCAAAGGCCAGAGCTGAGCCAATCCAAAACCAGGAGCCTGGAGCCTCTTTTGGGTCTCCCAGGCTGGTACAGGGTTCCAAAGCTTTAGACCATCCTCGACTGCTTTCCCAGGTCACAAGCAGGGAGCTGGATGGGTTAGTGGGGCAGCTGAGATTAGGACTGGTTCCCATATGGGATCCTGGTGTGTGTAAGGTGAGGACTTCAGCCTCTAGGCTACCAGGCTGGACTCTGACTGGATTCTTGACGTTGTCACTGAGCTAGACTGTGGTTCCTCTGGGAGCCTAAAAGTGGGTCAGCTGCCCTAGCATTCTTCCACTGGCTAACCACACCACTCTAAGACTTCACCTGGGGTCCAACCATGTGCTATTGAGTCCTAGGCTCTTTCTATTGTGAAAAGTCCTTTAACAAACTGTGGTTAGCTACTGTGGCATATTGACGATTTAGATCTTTGGAAACAAGCCATTCCACCTATGTTGTGTCCTGGGAGGTCACCTTATTCCAACAGTGGTTGCCTGGTCTGAGTTCTGGCATGGCTAAATGGCTAGTGCGTGAGTGAGCAAGTGATAAGATCAAGGCACAATATGCTCATATAATTTTCAAAAGCTGCCTGTTCAGCACACTCACAAGGCAGTACTGTTCTTGCTTCCTCAAGCCCCTTGTGACAGCATTAGAAGCCATTAAAAGTCTGATCTATTGGCATCTCTGCAGGATAGTTTTAAGTGGCCATTTCTCATTCTATGAGAACTTTGAGCTCTTGTGGCCTTCACTTGCCCGGCCAAGGCCTCCACCTCTGTCATTGCAGCAGTTAGTCAGATGCCAAATACACAGCAGGTGCACTCAGCTCTGTGAAAACCCATCTTTAGACTTCTTCTGCCCACACCTCCCCTAACCTGAAGAAGAGAGAAAATGCAGCCCAGAGGCACAGAACAGAAAGAGCCCAACAGCTTCTCCTATTCAGGTGACTTGACTCCTTTGCAGAACCAGGAAAGTGAATATTGGCTCATTTAGGGGGTGGTTGTGTTTCATGGATCCAATCTCACTAGGAATTTGTGGTGATTAGGGTTTTTTTTTTTTTTTTAACAAGTGTGTGTGAGAGAGGGAGGGGAGGAGGGATATACCCAGAGAAAAATCTTCAGTTTTCTGTTTGACTCCCCAAAAGCCTGCGACAGCTGGGGCTGAGTCGGGCCAAAGCCAGGGGCCAGGGGCCAGGGGAATCTTCCCGGAGCACCTCCTTGAGCCATCCCCTGCTGCTTTCTCGACTGAGCTGAGAGCTGAATTGCAAGGGAGCAGCCTGGACTCTAACTGGTGCTCATAGGGGACATTGGCAATGCATGTGGTGGCTTAACACGCTATACCACAATGCCAGCCCCTGTGATGATTCTTAAACATGCAGCATTAACAGAAGTCTATGTATCACGTATGTGAAGAACATGAATTCTGTTTTATGAAACTGTGGGTTAGCCAGCATTGGGGAAGGACAAGTGAAAGTTCACTGGGGCTTTCTTCCCTCCTTCCTCCCCTTTCTCCCTTTCTTTTCTTTACTTGTTCTCCACCCTCCCCCCTTACTGAGCCTCTTGTTTGACTCCTGGCCAAACTGGCAAGAAAAACTTCTTGCAAAGTACAAGATATACATATATACACATATATGTATATACACACATATGTATACACACATATATACATAATATGAACACACATATATATTCATCTAGAGGAACTGTATGATGGGCATTTTCATATAGACAAGGAAGATACATAGCAGTGTGCATCTCTACTCTTGAATAAAAGATGAATTCCTAATGAAACTGCTAAATGTATTTTGACAATAGGATGCTGGACTCTGCCATTGTCTACACCTACGGTGCTATGATACACTTAAATAGCAGCATGATGGACTTGTGCCTATTGCTGAAGTGAATTGTGATAATTCACAATTACCATTGTGATAATACAGGGGAAAACAGTGTGGAGCATAGTTGGGGAGGGTGGGAAAGGAAATTCTTGACCTATGGAACTGTATCATGAAAAAAATCATAGAAGAGTATGGACGTCTTGGAACAGAGGTTGTAGTTGGAATCTCTGGTGCTGTAAAGACATAGGGAGGACTTTGGGGTGATGGTGTATCGGGCTAATCCTCCGTCGGCAGTGCCAATATCCCCTATGGGTGCTGGTTTGAGTCCCGGCTATTCCACTTTCATTGCAGCTCCCTACTAATGGCCTGGGAAGAGGCTCCTAGCTTCAGACCAGCCCAGCTCTTGCTGTAATGTCCATTTGGGGAGTGCCACAGAGGATGGAAGATGTCTTTCTGTATATATCTCTTCTTAACTCTGACTTCCAAATAAAATAAATAAATGGTTTTAAAAAGGCACTAGGGAAGAGCCTCTATGGCCTGAAGATTACAGGAGCTTGCCGTCACCACCGTGGTGCTGCCCACCTCACACAGCAACCTTCCAAGCCCCAAAACACCTTTGGGGAAACAGCCTTCTCTCTTCCCAGTCTACACGTCTGCAACAGGAGCCACCGTGCTTGCACTAGAAAGTCCTTCTGAACTTGGTTGGCTGATTTGGAGGTTCCTGGCACTTGCACCAAACAGTCCCATCTCCACAGGAAGAACAGGAAACCCAGATCAGGCAAATAGGCATAGATTCATTCATTTCAAGTTTCACTGTGTGACAGGCTGTGTCAGCCCTGCTCTCTGCTCCTCCACCAGCCATTCCCATCACACCATTGCTCTGAAGATGCCCCCAAATGGAGGAGCTGGAGCTGGAACTTGGCACTTACTACATACAGGAATAGTTTAAAAATAGTTTTAAATTTTAATTATTTGAGGACAGAGAAAAAGAGAGAGAAATTTCCCATCTGCTTATTTATTTTCCCAGCTCCTAGGACTGAGCCAGGACTGAGCCAGGACAAAGCTAGAAGGCAGAAACTTAATCTAGTTCTCCCCGATGAGGGTAGGGACTCAAGTTTCAAGCCATCATCTGCATGCAGCCTGCAAGGGTGCTACCACCTTTATCTTACCTGCCGGAAGAGGTGGATGTTGAAAATAAAACAACCCACCCAATAAGCTCTTGGTGGTTGCACTAACATGTTTACATCTGATACTATTTAGGAATGACTCACTGAGGCGACTTGTGGTTGCATTGGGGGCTACTACACATAGGTGCTAACAATTATTGAGCACCAATTGTGGGTCAGACATTGGGCTAGGCACTTTACATGCATCGTCTAATCTAATTTTTACAGCAATTAGATGAGATAGGTACTTATTAATCTTTCGGAAGCTTGTTGACATATAAGTTACGCACTCCAAAATGCACAATTCATTGGTGGTT